GCATTCAAATGCCTGCTACGTGTGAACTCGAAAATATCGTTGCCAGCTTTGAATGCGGATCCGAAATCAGCTGGTGCAAAGGAAACAATAGACATTTATGTATGCCATTTTGCTCACGCTACCCCAGCAGTCGCAATGGCCTAGTGAGCAAAGCGCTAAACTGCCAAATTGAGAGATCCGAGTTCGAGTCCGAGTCGTCGGGCAGCGAAGCTTTCTTTTTATTTTTTTATTTTACTTTTATTTTGATTTTTTTTTAGTTTAGATTTTATTTTTTTTAAAGAGTGGCTCAAAAACTCAAGAATAATGAACAATAAACAGTTAAAATAAAATAATTGAAGAATTTCGTGAACTATGTAGTAACAATCACCGATACTTTGGAAATTGAATTCCAAACATAAATCGCTATTTCCCAAAAACCTGCCGAAAGTAATATGCGACAATGTTTTATAAAAAAAAAAAAATATGATTTATTTTTAAGTGTGCAAACTATAACTACAATTATTAACTTAAAAAATCTCTTTCAAAAACCAAAGACCATTTGCTTGTTCAAAATTTGATTTTAAGAACAATGTGTTTTAAATAAACGAAAAATGTATAATAAAATGGGAAGGGTTTTAGATATTGGCTTATGGTAGCACGAAATGTGTCACATTCTACTTAATTGTCAGGTTGTTTATATGGCGACGAAAAAGTAACAATGGAATATATATAACCTTGTTTTGTATCGTGCTTTGATCTTCGCTACGGATGAGAGAATTTGAGTATTTTGTGATCTTTGATATATATATATTATGCGATGTATCGCCTAAGCGCACTAAGGACTATTTGTGGATTCCGAACAATATCTGACAAAGCACCCTTCGTAATTGCCGGACTGATTCCCGTAGATATCCTGGCAAACGAGATGCAAAGAGTGTATAAGCGTGTATCTGTGGGAAATACCACTTTCAACCGAAAAGCAGTTACAGAGCAGGAAAGACGTCGCTCTATGGAGATCTGGAAAAAGCGTTGGGATGAATCGGAAAAGGGTAGGTGAACTCATAAGCTTATTCCACGCATTAAAAACTGGCTGGAAAGAGCCCACGGAGATTCAAACTACTACTTAACACAGTTTCTTTTGGGACATGACCCCTAAACGAGAGGTTCTAAATAGATTTGGGTTTGGAGATTCCTCACACAAAATGTGCGCACATATTTCTAGAATTCTTATAGATCTAAGACGATCTGAACAAGCTAGAACCGGTTAAATAACGTAGCGAGCCTATTGGCCGCCAACCAGCCCCGTGAGGTAATACCTTAAATTGTTCACGGGCGGGCGTCATCCCAGAAAAAATAAAAATAAAAATAAAAAATGCCCTTGAAACTCTATTTAAACTAAATTTGTTTCCTAGTGTCATTTATCATCATATCACACTTACCATTCCCATTCCTAAACTAGTCATATTTTTGTCTTTGACGTCTCGAGCTACTACAATTTGCGTAACAATCGCTGTGCCTGGTGCTGCAACAGTCGTTACGCTGCCAGCATTATTTGAACCCGACACGCCAGAGCCGCTGGATGCAGGTGACGCTGACGCTGCCTCTGTCTTACAGATTTTCGACAACGTCGGCTTTTCCGTATCTGACTCGTCACCGGTGATCACCGCCTGCTGCTGCCCAGCTACACTAGTGGTTACGGTTTGCACTCCGGACACGGGTATGTAATTGCCAGATGAAGTCTGTTGTAAGCTAACAATAGCTGCTTGATTTTGATTCTGAATTAGAATTGTTTGCGGATGTTGTTGCACTTGCTGTTGAGTATTGTGTAATTGTTGTTGTTGTTGTAGATCTGGGGATTTTGAGCGCTTGCGAACGCGAGATTTACGCCCAATTTGTGGTTGTTGGGATGATGTGGAGCCCGCAACAACTAATTGTCCGGTGGCATTGGCATTTGCAGTTGCCGACGACCCAATTTGCTGTGAATTGGCAGCGGGCACGTTACCGATATTATGCGTAAGCACAGCAGTATTCGTTGCGATTTGCTGTTGTTGTTGATGTTGCTGCTGCTGCTGCTGCTGATGTTGTGTGTTGGGCGAAGCCTGACCTGGCGATACAGTAGTGTTGACGATGTTACCAACAACTGCTTGTTGAATGTTCTCCGATACGGTGATTGTAGCTGTAGCAGTGTCGTTCAAATCATCTGTGTTTTCAGCCGTTTCACAAAGTCCCTTTATTTTCAGCTGTTCGGCAGTACGTAACAAACCCTGAAACAATAATACAAGAAAATTAAACAACTTGCAACTTTTGTTTAAAATATTAAATAACGTATGAAAAAAGTAAAAAAAAAGTACATACATATGTATATATTAGGTCACAAAAAAGTAAACGGTCGAATGTTCAGTATTGGACAAATATGATTTGTAACCAAATTCAAAACGATGTTTATTTATTTTTAAAAAATTTTCAGTTAAAATACATTCAGTACATTAGGGTGGTCCAAAAAAAAAATTAAGTTGGAATTTTAATGCCGGCACCCCCTAGGATTGTTCTATATCGAAAAAATATACCCCTACTTTTTATTTTGAAATCAAAAAATATTTAGGGGTGCTCAAAGCGCTCAAAGTTTTCCATGTATTTTATAAGGAGAAAAAAAAATATTTTTCGTAGAAATGGTATAAAACTCTTAAAAATCAATATTTTTCAATCGGAAAACTGTGGTTCTCTTCAGGAGACTTCAGGAGTGTAGCTACTATGAAAATTATATAATTTATAAAAGCAAAATTCACTCTTTTGCGAGAAATTTTATGGTGTCATCTTGTAAAATTAGTGCCGAACTATTGATATATGTATGTACGTATGCAGGGGCATTTACTTATAACTGAATCAACGCGATTTGCACCACAGTTTATTAACCAATCATAACTGATCCCCATAAATCGCCTGGACCAGTGGGTATTTCCGGTCCAACAGCAATAAATACGTATATACCAGGGTTGTTGCGAATATCCGCATTCGCATTCGCAACCGCGGAGCTTCCGCATTAATTTCAACATTTGCATTGGCAATAATCAATGCGGATGCACTGATAAAACGTATACATGGCAAACAAAATGACAAATTGTAGCCAATATTTTTGCCAGTGTTCGTGGGAGTATTTGTGTAGCAAAACTGGTCAAATGTCATATTTATCAACTTCGATAAAAATATCTTTAAACATTTTATTTCTTAAGCTATCTAACCGAGCTGCTGTCAATGGGCAGTCAAACAAGTTCCAACTTCTACTTGACCTTTCACGTACGTCAGAGAGAACAGAGTCTTTAACAATATTTTTTTTTTCTGTACTGTGTAATTCTTAACCAAATTTTCGTGATTTGCTTTTGATGTTACATATATGTATTCGTTTCAATAATTTCAAATCGGGCTCTTTGGGGAATTTATTATTAGCAAAAATTTTAAAAACAATAATTTTGTTTACTTGTCGGGCAATATTTTTTTCATAGGAATATACATTGGATTCTTGGCTAAAAACTTCAGTGGTAAAACTGTCCCTTCTTTGCTATTTAAAGTCAAAGAGTAAGTTCCTTCAATAGGGATTTCCAGCAGAAATGATAAACGTCTGGCTATAAAAAGATTCGATGCTCAAATAAAACTTTAATAAGATAAGAATTACGTAACTATCTGAGATTCAAATGCTTATAAAAAACAGTGTGCTTTTTTTTAAATAACATTATTCTGCCAGCCGAATCGTGGCAGCCAAAACTTTGTAAACAGAATTTTGTTCAAAATTTTCATTCCTGGAAAATAATAATTTATTTTTCATATCCACCTATTTAGCTCGCTATAAGCACAAATTTTTCAAACCAGTCGCCGAAAAAAAGTATTAAAAATTAATTACAGAAATTAAATCGAAAAACGTTGATGAAGTTACAGAAGGTTTGGCCTCGCCATTATGGTCGATTCTAATTGTTTCTTAAAAATACTTGACATCCGCATTCGCATCCGCGGATGTTAGCTGTTAGATATTCGCATCCGCATTCGCATCCGCGGATGTTTAAAATTCCACATTCGCAACATCCCTAGTATATACCCTAGAATCTAAAAAATGATATTGGTGTTAAAAAGTTTCTTTATCAGCGACCGATGCTAAAGGGGCAGGAGGCTGTTTATTATATTGAACTCAATAATTGAGAGATTGAAATTAAAGAATACGCAGATTTATCAGTTTCCTGGTCAAAAACTGTGGTTGAGAGGTAAATTCACCTAAGACTGAATTAGTTTTCCTTACTAGGCGGTAAAAAGTGCAGCAGCTCGAAAAGCACAAAAGTTGCCTGTTATAAACATTTGGAGGGATTTCTCTGCTGGGTGCTTTATAATTAAGCTCATCCTCTCAATATACAATTGTGCACAAACAATTTCTTACAGCAAGGTAAGAATCATATAAAAAACTGATCGTTTCATTGCCGGCATAATGCGACTTGTCCACATATGGTTTTAAATCATACATGCACACATAGGGTCATATACACTTGCAATTAATAAACGGTGACCATTCGTACCGATTTTTGCGGGACAGTACCGATTTTGAGAAAATTGTCCCGCTGAATTTTTTTCAAAGTCGGGACGTATAAGTGTGACGATTTTTCTTATTTGTACCGATTAAATTCCGATTTTCAGTGTTGTCTTTATTAATTTAATAAAAGTATCCCCTTTTCTCTGGCCCACAAACCACTTTTCGTACAAGCGTGACACCACTTTCGTTATCACAAAGGACTTAGAATATAAGGGAGCAAAAAAAATAGGCACCATCCTTAGTTTCTACGATATTTTTGAATGTTTTATTCTGTCAAACTGGTACTCTCGCTATATTGCATTCTTGTCATTTTTGTCTAAATTTTTCTCAGGTTTTTACAATTGTTTCTTAAGTTTTTTCGGGGAAACTTTCCATTAAATGAATATTTAACATTTTTCAAGCGAATAAACGCAAATGAAAATTGTGATTTTTGGCAATTTTTCTAAGGGGTCCCTAGGGAACCATAGGGGACCTAGGTGGTCGGGGGTTGCATTTTTGTCAATGGCGGGGTTCATTCCCTCTCCAAAAAGGTGGGTTAGAGGTGCCACGCCCACTTACCTTTCGCCCACCGCCCCTTTGACGAACGGCCATAAAGGAATGCCAACCCGTTTTTTCTTTAATTAAACGATTCTAAAGGCGGGTTCACCGTTCTTGTCCGGACAACTTTTTATTTGCTCTCAAAACATTTTTGCCGGAGAGGGTGCTGCCGTACGTTTCACCGTTCAGTTCGGTACATTTTACTTTGTTTTGAAGCAAACAGCTGATGATATTGTTGCCTACATACGTTTTTGAGGGCAAATAAATAATATATGCAATTCGCTGCAAACGCATATAAAGGAGAACGCGGCAACCTGAATCACCAAGTCGTTCAGACAGAAAATCAAAATCAATTTGATTCGAACAAAGAGTGTTCAGCACATTTTTGTCGCGGTCTCAGTGAGACAGAGTGGGAAAGGAACGCGTAAAATTACTAACAAAAAGACTCCAGACATGAACGGTGAATGCGCCTTAATTTGAATTTGGTGAAATTTTAGAAAATAATACTAATTCCCTCAAAAAAATCATGGATATGAAAAATATAAGCTGTAGATACGGTGCCGAAAATATAAATAGGAAGAGGCATTTTAGCATTCTTTGGCTATTCTCCGGACTTACCGTTAATTTTTGGTAAATTTCTTTTGTAGAAGGTTTTCTCGTTTTCTCCATACAAAAAAAAAAATTTTAACATATTTTTTATGGAAGAAAATGCGCGAACAAAAAATTGCCGAAAACAACGGTCAGTCCAAGCTATTTCAAACTTGCACTTTGTTATACTAAAATTTAGTGGGCTACAAAACTGCACACTCAAAACCATTCTAGAAAATTTGTTTAAAACCTTTAAAAATTTTGATCAACATTTCGTCGCCTAAGAAAACGGATGTCGAATGTGCAAAATTACGATTTTGGAATTTTGATGCAGATTTACTAAGTTGGGCATGCGCTTTCGATTTCTGGAATCCATTTTTTTAAATCTCCCTTAGTTTTTGAGATGTTTCGTGTGAATTTTGTCCTATGTTACATAATATTAATGATTGCTATGCCTTTTGTACGTACTTTTTTTTAATCATAAGGAGTTTTTCGTATGCATCGCAAAACTTTGAGCTTACGACGACTCTGCTATAACGACACAATTGAAATTGGGAATTAAACTAAGAAACAGATTTTTTTTTGTTTTTTAATTTTAGCTTGCACTGAGTCTCTAATGAAATGAAAGAAATGAAAATCTACAAAAGACTGAATTTAAGTATTGGTTTTTGTTTTCATAAAAAAGAAAACGTATATTCGTAGCATATTTACAGCATAAAAGATTTATAGAATTTTTTATTAAACACATGAATATGCATGTTTTTGTTGTTTTTTTCTACTAAGTAATTAATATTCAATAAATATATCTAATTTTTTCATCAAATTATACCATCGTCGTTGAAATAGATACTTTAGTATTTGCGTATGTTCTATGGACAAAAAAAAGTGGTGAGTAAAGTCAATTTTCTCATTAAGGTTTAGAGATATTAAATTTAAAAATTTGGAAAATAAAAACTAATAACACCAACTACGCCTTCAAACACTACAAAAATCGACCGTATAGTTTGGGATTAATTCTACCTTAAACTTCAAAGTAAATTTTCTCAAAATCGTGTTTTGTAACATTCGACATCCGTTTTCTGAGGCGACGATTTGCTAAAATTCTTCGAATTTTTACAAATCTTCTACGAATTTTGCAATTTTGATTTACATGTTTTTTTTAGAAAGTAAGCTTTATTTTCATAAAAAATAATAAATATTTTTTAAACAAGGAAAGTAGCCAAAACTTGCTAAAAAATGTCTTCCCTATTTACATTTTCTTTGATATATATATATTTTTTTTTAATAAAACTGTATTAAAAGATGTTATGTCCTTTTATCCTAAAACAAAGTTGTATGTTCGTATTCGATGCTATAGAAATGTCCCGATTTTAGGCCTTAGAAATCTGGTCACCGTAACTATGTATATACATACATATGTATGTAAGCATGTGTACCTGTAAAAATGCAAACATATGCACATACATATACATATGCCCACTAATGCAAGCCAACTCGCTAGGAAGTCTTTACGCTCATCAAATAAATACATAATTCGAGAGTTGAATGTACATTTTCAAATTCATTGAA